CTCTCTCTCTCTCTCTCTCTCTCTCTCTCTCTCTCTCTCTCTCTGCCTCTACTACCCTCCTGGCTCCCCTCCCCATGCCCTGAATAAACTCTATTCTATGCTATACTGTTGTGTGACTGGTCCCTCAGGGGGAAGAGATGCCTTGGCATGGGCCCGCTGAGACATCCCCTTCCCCTATACCTCTCCACACACCCACAGAACATACTCTTTATCTCTTTATCTTTTTATGAATCCATCAGACATAGGCTCCAAAACAACAATAAAGGGATTTACCTAAGTCTTGGATGATATTCTCTACTGCACATAGTGACCTCAAGTTTCCTGTCTTGGCACCTCTGCATATGTGCCCTCCTCAGGCCCAAGGCAAACAAACATCAGTATTCTCATAACGCTGCCTGTGTCTCTCTCACATACACATCAAGATTTTAGTTTGACTTTCCTTTACACCTTCATGTAACAGACTCATGCCACAGACTAAAAAGGGCAAAGGAAATCTAAAAAGACTTGTGTTTGAATCGTAGCTCACTTCATTTCTAAGAGCTTTCGTCTCTGATTTGTAACCTGGGGAAAACAACTAAATTTGTATGTCTAATCTGTTTATGGACAGTAATAACAATAAATATCAAGTGCTTGGCACCTAAGAAGTGATCAATAAGGCTGGGCGGTGGTGGTGCAGGCCTTTAATCCCAGCACTTGGGAGGCAGAGGCAGGCGGATTTCTGAGTTAGAGAGTTCGAAGCTAGCCTGGTATACAGAGTGAGTTCCAGGACAGCCAGGGCTATACAGAGAAACCCTGTCTCGAAAAACCAAAAAAAAAAAAAAAAAAAAGTGATCAATAAATAGTGCCTGCGCCTCGTGCCCGCATACCGAACCGCGGTTGGTGATTGGTTGTGGCTAGGGATAGACTGAGAGCTTCCTGAGGTCCACGTAAATGTTCCCTACAAAAGCAGGAAAGAGCCTAAACTAGCGGGGCCCAGAAGGACAAAGCTCCAATTCCCGGAGGGAAGATCAACAAAGCGGACTCCCCACCTCCCGGAAGTGACGACACAGGGGCGAGTGGCGCCTCGGCCGGCCTTCCCGAGCGGGGCGCGCTCAGGATGGCGGAAGCGGAAGGGAGTTCTCCGCTCCTGTTACAGCAGCCGCCGCCCCCTCCTCGGATGGCGGAAGTAGAAACGCCGACGGGGGCCGAGACGGACATGAAGCAGTACCACGGGTCCGGTGGCGTCGTCATGGACGTGGAGCGGAGCCGCTTCCCCTACTGCGTGGTATGGACACCCATCCCGGTGCTCACGTGAGTCTCTTCCGGTGTTGCCGCGAAGTCGCGAAGGGCCCAAGCATCCTTCGGTGTGCCATTCTAGCTTTTTTCCCAGACTTGCAATAACCCTTACTCCGAGCCAGGCTGGCCCCTGGTCCCCTAGAACCCCTGTCACCTGTGAAGTGCGCGGTCCCCTTGAATGTGGGGCATATTTCCGGCCCTGGTTCCCCCTTATCTAACTGGGGAGGAGACTTAAGTGTAGATTAGCAACAAAGATCAGGTAATTAGAACGCCCTTAAACTGCAAGCGTACAGAAAAGACCATTATCCATCTTCATTCATTCGCCGTTTTTGTTTGTTTGTTTGTTTGTTTCACTCATTGAGCAAATGAGTGCGTACTTGTTATCTGCTATGCACAAGATGTTTTGCCTTTAGAAGCAAAAGTGAGAGTTTGGTTGAGGCCACACTGGTTCATGGAATGTCAGCATTGGGAGGTCCATGCTAGCGTTTGCTTCCTACATCATCTGAGTTGCAAAGCAGTACCAGCTACCTAGGTGACTGCCTCCCCCTGGAAAAATGCAGCTTACCGCCCTCCTACCTTAGTCCTAAGGGTCTGGACAGTTTACAAGCTTAGTTTTCTGAAGTAGAAATCCTCTTACCCCCACGGTGAGGCCGAGTTTCTTGTAACATTGTCTTGGTCAGTTGACTACCCCAGCCAGAAGATACTCGGCAGCCAGTTAGTTCACTGACTGTATAACTCGTCTTTCAGCTGTGGTATAGTATCTCTCATTTTTTTCTCTATCAAAACCAGCCACCACGTGGTGATCCACACTTGTAACCATAGCACTTGGAGGCAGAGGCAAGCAGATGTCTGTGAGTTGGAGGGCAGCCTAAACTATATGGTAGGAATTCCAGGCCAGCCAGGCATGCATAGTGAGACCCAATCTGAAACAAACAAACAAAAAAATACAACCAACCGAACAAACAGCGCCAAGCTGTGTGGATAAGGACTCATTATTAGCCTTAAATGTTTCTGATCTTAAAATCACGTTAATCTTTTGGTTTTGTATTTATTGTACTGGTTTTGAGATGAGATCTTGATATGTAGCCCAGGCTGGCCTGGTATTTATTGAGTAACCCACCCTGACTTTGAACTCCTGTTCCCCCTGCCTCAGACGTCCATGTTCTGGGACTACAGGTGTATACTACTACTTAATCCATCCAATGACCCTAATTTTTTTACTTATGTAACACTACTTACATCTGGGTACATGGCTCAGTCAGTAAAGTGCTTTCTGTGTAAATAACCTGAGTTTGGATCCCCTGCAAAAACCGTCTTGCAGCAGTGCATTGCCTGAAGTCCTAGAGCCAAGGAAGGGGAGGTGGGAGCATCTCTGAGCTTGCTAGCTACCTGGTCTTGTCAAGTCAGTGAGAGATACTGTCTCAAAAAGTAAGGGGGGACTCTGCATAGAGATGGCAGACATCTGTCTTCCCGTCTCTCAGCAGGCAAAGCCAAAATGGGGGTTGGGCTGGGACCTAAAGCATTGACTTGTGGTTAAGAGCACTTGTTGCTCTTGCAAACCTGTGTTCAATTCCCAGAGCCCTCGCAGTGGTATACAGCCATCTGTAACTCCAGTTCCAGGAGAACTGATGGGCACAGAGCAAGCATACAGTGCACATACGTACGTACATACATACGTACATACGTACATACATACATACACACGGGCAAAACATTTATTTAAGTAAAACTAGACAAATGATAAAAGAAAAAAATCAAAGACTTGAGTCTTTGCCTCACACCATTGTTCAGAGAGAGATTAAGGTAGGAAGGTCCCTGACAGTTTTGAGGCCATCCCAGGCAGCAGAGGAAAGTCCAGTCTAGGGATCCAGAATTAGACACTGAATCCAATAAAATTAAAAAAAAAAAAACCTTCCAATGTACGCTTGTTAATTCATTAAATGTTCCTCTAACATGTTTGCTAACTGACTCCTTGTGGTCTGTAGTTGCAGGTGGTAAAGCCTAGATGTCTGGTGTGCAGTGCAAGGCCTGTCCCTTGTTCTCAAGCATTGAAGGGAGGGGTAGCTGGTAAATAAGTGACTGACGGGAGGGCTCCAGGTGGGGTAGAGCTGTGAAGAGAATGACCTGTCACTGTGAAAGCGGCTGGGTACTCAGGTGGCTATGTCGTTTGTGTGGAAACCAGTCACGCTGGACGTGTTGGCCTTCTCATTTCTTTTTAAACTTAGCTCGTGTGTGTAGGAGCACTGTGGTGGAGAGAGGGCAACGTTCAGGAGTTGGTTGTCTCCTGCTGCTCAGTGTGAGTCAAGCTCAGGTCATCAGACCCGGCAACAGCTGCCTTTATAAAGTGAACCATTGCCGGGCGGTGGTGGCGCATGCCTTTACTCCCAGCACTTGGGAGGCAGAGGCAGGCGGATTTCTGAGTTCGAGGACAGCCTGGTCTACAGAGTGAGTTCCAGGACAGCCAGGGCTACACAGAGAAACCCTGTCTCGAAAAACCAAAAATAAATAAATAAATAAATAAATAAATAAAGTAAACCATTTGCAGCGTTTCATTTTCAAAAATATCGTGTCACAGTCCTCTGCTGAGAAATGGTGGAGCGTGAGGTGGAAACACTCAGTTCCCCATTGTGTAGGGTAGAAGTAGCTTCCGTCTCGGTTCTCTTCAGATCTGTATTCATAAGACCAACGTGAGTAAGACTGTTCCTGACAGGGCTTGCCCCTCAGCAGAAAGGACAGGGGACAAATTAACTTTTGTAATGATATAGTTATGTGATGTTGCTGAAGGTGCTTACAGATGTAGGGGCAGATGCGAGGAACTCTCATGTCTGTGACAAGGAGGTCAGAGGAGGAAACTGAGTCCAAGACCTCTCCACCTCTTAGTAATAGCTGCTGCTACTAATAAGAACAGCTAAACATTTCATACACAGTCATCCAGTCCTTACATCAACCTGTATCAATATCTGAAAGCAGATATTGAGGCAAGATTCCAGGATGAGCAACTAACACATTGGCTAAACCATTACTGAGGACCACTTTTGTCCTAGGTCAGAAGAGACAGCAGTTACCCTAGCTTGGGAGCTCGTCTTTGGGAAGCTGACGAGCTGCGTCGAGAGTTGCTTCCCTAGGCTTTGCTAGGACAGACTTCAGTGTTGTCTCCAACCTTCATCCCCAGTTCCATCAGCCATCAGCCATGATATAGACAAAGTACTGCTCAAAGCCAGGTCCCCTGACAGTTGGAAGGAATCTGGATCACAAAGAGATGGGACTGGGTTCTCTAAGAAGCCAGAGGAGCTGTTTCCTAGAGTTCTTGGTGTCTGTCCTATGTTCGCTGTGGATTCTCAGCTGCTTGCCTTCTGTCAGTCAGGTAGCAACTGTTCACCAAGCACCTCAGCATCACTGAGCACCCCACATGTGAGCAGCGTTCTACATGGGCTGGGCAGTAGCCCCTCAGCAAAGTCCTCGTTGCTCTGCAGAAAGGTGGAAATGAAGAAACTGCTCTAGCCTGCTCAAAACCAGACTACTTTTTTTTTTTTTTTTTTTTTTTTTTGGTTTTGAGACAGGATCTCTATGTAGTCTTGGCTGCCCCGGAATTCACTATGTAGACCAGGCTGTCCTTGAACTCAGAGATCCTGCCTCTGCTGAGTTTACTTCCCCCCCTCCCCAATTGGCATATAGAGCAATCTAATGTGTGTTTGGGGTACAGTGTGACTTTTCAATATTCCAATTAAATGGATGTGCAAAGTGCTTACCTCACAAACATCAAGACCTGAGTTCAAGTCCCCAGAACCCATGCAAAGGTGGAATGGGAGTGGTCCTGTAGTCCCAGTGCTCCTGAGGTGACATGGCAGACACAGGAGACTTCCCAGAAGTTCACAGGCAGCTAGCCTAGAGTACACAGCAGTGAGATCCTGTCACAAGGTAGAAGGCAAAGCAACACCCAAGGTTGTGCGTACACATCATACACAGGTAGAATGTAACGATCAGGTCAGAATGAACCATGTTATCCATTATCTCAGCTGTCATTTCTCTGGGTTGGAAAGATCAGAATCCTCTCTTGGCTCATTTGAAATCTACAATTGTCAGTTATAGTACATTACTATGCTGTAGAATGTTGGAAGGTATTCCTCCTATCCAGCTACACCCCTCTACTCTTGTTAAATACGATGGATCGTTTGTCCTTGTTCTGCTGACAAATACATAGGGAATTTGGAGCTATGTGCAGAGCCAGGCACCATCTTAGAAGCTACAGCAGTAAAGGAGACACTGTGTTTTCATGGAGTGTAAGGATTTAGTGAGGAGAAATGGCCAGTTGATGAGCTTTAGCGCATGAATATGATGAAGAAAATAAAGGAGGCTGATGGATCTGGGGCTCCATCTATGGCTGCTTGTGTGTGAAGATGGGATTGTGATGGTGGGGGAGGCTGCCAGGGATCCAGCTCTTAAAGTCTAGGGACAAGCTGGAGAGCTGGCTCAGTGGTTAAGAGCCCACACTGCTCCTGCAGAGGACCTAGATTCGGTTCCCAGCACAGCATCCTGTGGCTCACAACTTAGAACTCCTGCTGCAGGGGATCAGATGCTTTCTTTTGGCCTCTGCAGGCACCTGCACTCATGCCGCACACTGCACACACAGATATACAAGTGTTTACATAAGCAGGGATTACTCTTGAAAAAAAGAAAATCTCTTTCTTTTACAGACAAGACAAACCTATGGCTATAAACCAGAGGCTGGCAAAACGGCTCAGCAGAGAATCACCTATGATTCTCTAGTCAAGACTGTTATCTGGGGCTGGGACTTGAGCAGTAACCTCTACACTGGCCTCCTCCTGCCTTCTCAACAAGCCCCTCAACCCCTATTTGGGCTATGTACAGAGCACCTTACTTTCTGAGCCATCTTAGCAGCCCTACATGTCCTACCCTGTTCTTAAACTTCCTTCTTGAAGGGTTACTTACATATTATAAGCTGCACAAATCTTAGGCATACAGTTCAGGGAAGCATTTATGGTTTTCTTTCTTTTTCAACTTATGGGCTGGAGAAACAGTGAGCAGCTAAGACCTGTACTGTTACAGAGGACCCAGCACCTGTGTCAGGTGGCTGACAGCCCCTTAAGTCCAGCCCCAGTGGGGTCCAATACTTGTGAGCACCCTTTACATACCCACATGCAGACACATGCACAACACATTTTATTATTAATTTGACATTTTATTAATGTGTGTGTGTGTGTAGAGGAGTGAGTGTGTCACAGTGCACATGTGGAGGTCAGAGGACAGCTTCATCATGGAGTTGTTTTCCCCTTCTACCATGTGAGTCCCAGGGATGGAACCGGGTCATCAGGCATGGTGGCAGCCACCCTCACTGCTGATCATTTGCCAGCCCCATAGGCTTGTCTTGTCTTTTCTGGAACACAGAACAGTACTCCATTTTATATTCTTTCTATTATAAGGCTTTCTTCCTGTCTATGTCGTATGTAGCAGCAGTGTGCTTTTCATTGTTACATACGACTGTTGCAAGGCTGTGCCGGTTTTGTTTCTCCCCCCCCTCTTTCTCTCTCTTTCCCTTTCTCTCTCTCTCTCTCTCTCTCTCTGTCTCTGTGTGTGTGCGTGTGCGTGTGCGTGTGTGTGTGTGTAGTGTGGGTTGTTTTTAGAGAATGTTATTTTTGTATCTATGGGTGTTTTGACTGCATGTATATCTGCACACTGCATATAGGCCTGGTGCCCACGGAGGTCAGAATAGGGTGTCACATTCTGTGAAATTGAAGTGACAGAATGTTGAGCTATCTATCATGTGAGTGCTGGGAACTGAACCCAGGTCTTCTGCAAGAACAACAAATGCTCTTAATGGCTAAGCCATCTCCACTCCCATTGTTTTGGGGGTTTGGGTTTGTTTGTTTGTTTTGAGACAGAGTCTCACTATGTAGACAAGGTCGAGTGCTGAAATTACAGGCATATACCAGCCATGTCCAGCTCTGTTGAGTTTTGTTGTCTTTTTTTTAAAAATTCACTTTGAAGATGGGCAGTGGTGGCGCACGCCTTTACTCCCAGCACTTGGGAGGCAGAGGCAGGCGGATTTCTGAGTTCGAGGCCAGCCTGGTCTACAGAGTGAGTTCCAGGACAGCCAGGGCTATACAGAGAAACCTTGTCTCAAAAAACCAAAAAAAAAAAAAAAAAAAAATTCACTTTGAGATCATTTACATAAAACAAAAAGGTGTGTATGTATATATGTATTTGTGTGTGTATATATACATATATATGCATATATATTTTTTATTTCATGTATATGGGTATTTTGCTCGCATATATGTCTGTGCAATACACCTGCCTAGTGCCCACAAAGGCCAGATGGTTGTGAGCTGCCATGTGGAGGTTTGGGGTTTGAATCCAGGTCCCCTAGAAGAGCAGCCAGTGCTCTTAACCACTGAGCCATCTCTCCAGCCCCCTAAAGGTACATCTTTTTTTTTTTTTTAAGATATATTTATTTTATGTATGTGAGTACGCTGTAGCTGTCTTCAGACACCCCAGAAGAAGGTATCAGATCCCATTACAGATGGTTGTGAGCCACCATGTGGTTGCTGGGAATTGAACTCGGAACCTCTGGAAGAGCAGTCAATGTTCTTAACTTCTGAGCAATCTCTCCAGCCCCAGTAAAAGGTACACCTTTTAAGAGCACACTTCAGGCCGGGCGGTGGTGGCACACACCTTTAATCCCAGCACTTGGGAGGCAGAGGCAGGTGGATTTCTGAGTTTGAGGCCAGCCTGGTCTACAGAGTGAGTTCCAGGACAGCCAGGGCTACACAGTGAAACCCTGTCTCGAAAAAACCAAAAAAAAAGAAAGAGCACAGTTCAGTGAGGATTTTTACCTTTTACAGTCCTGGGTTCAAACCCAGGACCTCGTCTATCGTGAAGCAGGCACTGCAGGGACTGTGTGTGTTTCTGTACATCCTCAGAGCAGAGCTGCTGAGGCAGAGCTCACAGTGCCTGACAGTTCTCTGGGAGAGGAGTTTCATCTGCCTAGCAGAGATCCGGCTGCTCTGCACCCTGTCCTGCACGTGGTGGTCCTGTCCTTTTAGTGGTAGCCCTGGGGACCTCCCTGCTGTTACTCACCATGGACCACTGTTTCACATGCCTTTTTGTAGCATCACCTAACTGGATGACAGACCTCAGCTCTGTCCTTTTGCTGTTTGTGTTCTTCTACAGGTGGTTCTTCCCCATCATTGGCCACATGGGCATCTGCACATCCACAGGAGTCATTCGGGACTTCGCCGGCCCCTATTTTGTTTCGGTGAGTCTCTAGTTTGCCCTGTCCTGAAGAGACTCCAGGCTCACATAGAAGGCTGGCCTGGGCCCAGGATGTCACACATAACTCTCAGCCCGGGCCCTAGCCTTCTGCCCCTCTCCAGTGTTTGACCCATTTCCTTCTCTTGCCTCCAGGACAGGCCAAGAGGACAGTGTGGCCAGAGGAATCTTAAGTAACAGGTTCAGCCCTCTGTCCCCGTCCCTGGGTACCAAGACATGGGTAGGGGTTAGAGGCAAGAGTGGAGTCAGATCATCCTGGAACCACATCTCTGGACCTTCAGAAGGTGGGAGCCATGGTTGGGGGACAGGGGAGGCTGACCTGGTTCCCATGGTGGAGATTTAGAATGAACCACTGTGTGGTCAAACCTTTTTAGGGATGGGTGGACACTAGTCCAGGGGGCTTTGTCAGTGAGCACATGCATATGCCTATTTTCAGGTGGCTGGAGCTGAAGAGGTGACAACATGGCCTCTTTGTGTTAGTAGTTGTTAGGACCATCCTAACAGGACAAGGCCTGTTGCTGTGCACTTAATACGTTGACTAGCTAAGCATAATGCTCCACACCTCTCATCCCAGGATTGGGAATCTGATGTAGGAGGAGTACCAAGTGTTCATGGCTAGCCTGAGCTACATAGTCAGTTCCAGGTCAATGTTGGGTACAGAGTTGGACTCTGTCTGGGCAGTGGTGGCGCACGCCTTTAATCCCAACACTTGGATGGCAGAGGCAGGTGGACCTCTCAGTTCAAGGCCAGCCTGGTCTACAGAGTGAGTTCCAGGACAGCCAGGGCTATACAGAGAAACTCTGTCCTGAAAAACAAAACAAAAAAGCAGAGTTGGACTCTGCCTCAAAAAATAAAACAAAACAAAGCTGGCAGAGTAGCCTGGTCTCCATAGACAGATCCAGAACAGCCAGGGCTACACTGAGAGACCCTGTCTCAATATAGAGAGAGATTATGTTTTGCGTGCGCGTGTGTGTGTGTGTGTGTGTTATGTGTTACATAAGGAGTATAGGACTCCCCATAGTCTCTCCCTCACATGAAAGTTCTGTGCTCCACAGCCTGTTACCTGCACTAAAGGTGTCCCACTGCAGGCCTCAGTAGACTGTCACTGTGGTGCTGAGAGGTCGGAGAGTTGGTGTTACATGAAGGAGACCTGCTCATGATGAAAGCCCAGAGGCTGCCCTGAGGACATGAGAAGAGGCCCTGTACGCTCATGCTGCCTTCTTTCCACAGAGCAGCTGCTGGGACCCTACCAGTGCCCTGCTGTGTCACAACCCTGCCACCCCTTCTAAGACACTGCCCTTCAGCCGCTGACCCAGGGTCCTTAGCAGACTGGTGTAGTTTCTCCACTGACTTCTGCTCTTGTCTCTCAACAGGAAGACAACATGGCCTTTGGAAAGCCTGCCAAGTAAGTGAGTCCCTTTGTGTCTAGCCAGAGACAGGCTCCTCCTGCTCAGAGCAACAGGCCAGGCCTGTGAGGCCCAGCAGGAGCCAGCACCCTGAGTGCCCTGGACCAAGCACCTAGAGCTACTCCCTGTCTAGGTGTCGTCTTGTAGCCTATTGATCTTCTCTGAGAGCTTGTGTTTTCAACCCTGTGGCACAGGAGTAAAGGAAGGCATGGATCCCGGGCAACGTCACACAGTTAGGAAGCACCAAAGCTGGTCTTACAGCCAAGTTTGTCTTCCTGTGTAGCCTGGAGTACTGCCTCCCCTTGGGAACACCCCAAGAAATATCACCTCTCTATACATATTGAGACAGGGTCTTTCCGTGTAGCCCTGGCTATCCTGGATCAGTCTATGGAGACCAGGCTGGCCTTGGGAAGCAGACCACTTACGGAGTTAGCGGCTGCTTGTGCGCCATTACAGCTTTCTGTTTGGAGGGCCGGAAAGCAACTCAGAGTGACAGTAGCTCCTGCCAGTCTCGTCCCTGTCACCTTGTTTTCTCCTGAGCCCTCCAGGGTTGCTCAGCCACTAATTACTGGGACATACTGCAGAGTTTATGCTTTCCACCTTATTTAGGCCGTTGCCCAGCCTCCAGCGCTGCCCTAACCCTCTTCCATCAGCCCAGACTCGGGGTTCCCGTTCTCATCCACTCAAGTTCCCATGACAAATACCTTTGAGTGGGTGGGTCATCAGCAACAAACGTGTCACCTCTTTGGAGACTAGGAGGGCCAGGATGACGTGCCTTGTGGTCCCACCACATGAAGAAAGGAATGAGGGTCTCTCAGGCCTTCCCACCCACAAAGGAAGTTAGTTCCTCTGGGGTTAAGATTTCAACAGAATAGGGAGACAAACATCCAGACCACTCTGGTCTTGCTTGGTTATTGTCTGCTGATGTGTCACTTCCTGGGGGCAAGTGAACAGATTGTTCACCCCAGCTTGGACACTGGTTGTACTCAAATCAAGCTTTGTAACCCTCCCTGAATTTACAGTTGTTACAACTTACAGAACCCTGGGAAAGGGCCTTGAGACTCTTGTTTCAGGAGTTAGTCTCAGAAGCTCCCCTCTTCCCTTCAGAAGAGAATGTTTCAGTTGGGAGGAAGTAGCCACACTACACTAGGCCTGGACCTGGTTCCCCCCATCACCCACAGCCTTGGGCATCCCTCACAGAGAACATTCATAAAGTTGAAAGCTGCAACGGGGCTGAGCCAGTGCCAAGAACAACCCCCCTTCCCCTTCAGGTTCTGGAAATTGGATCCCGGACAGGTATATACTAGTGGGCCCAACGCGTGGGACACGGCTGTGCACGATGCCTCTGAAGAGTACAAGCACCGCATGGTAGGTGGGGACTGGGCTCAGGGTCCGTGTGTCCCCGCCCCACCCCCACCCTGACCCAGCTGCACTTGTGTCTCCAGCACAATCTCTGCTGTGACAACTGCCACTCACATGTGGCTTTGGCCCTGAACCTGATGCGGTACAACAACAGCACCAACTGGAACATGGTGACACTCTGCTTCTTCTGCCTGATTTATGGGAAGTATGTCAGGTGAGCTGTCTTCAACCTGCAGGCTCACTCAGGCCGCTCTCCCAAGGATCCTGGAAAGGCTGTCACTGGATTCCTTCAGTCACTAGGGACAATTGGAACAGAAACTGAGGTTCTAGAGCCACTCAGTTCCTGGTAGAGAGCAAAGTGGCTGCACCACAGTCCTGCCACATGGGTCCTAGTTGACTTGTCACTTGCTCACTGCTGGGTGCTGGGCTACCGCTGGCCCTGGTAAAGGACTGCAGTGGCTCTGGCTTCTAGGGAAGCTATGAGTCTACAGATGCTCAGAGGAGCGTGGATCCTCTTGGATAGGATAGTGTGGCCCACCTCCATAGGCTCCTCCCCTGCCAGCTTTGTCAGAGGCAGGCTTCTAGACAGTAAGGGGAGGCTTTTGAAGCCACAGCCTCAGGACCAGTGAGGGTTAAGACATTCTTCCCAGCCCACACTAAGAACTCAGGTTGGGTAAATTCCCTTTATCCTGCAGCAGACCCCAAACTTAGAAACCATCTCACATGCGGGGTGTGGTGGTGCTTTTAATCTCAGCACTTGGGAGGCAGAGGCAGGTGGATTTCTGAGTTAGAGGCCAGCCTAGTCTACAGAGTGAGTTCCAGGACAACCTGGAAACAGAAACCCTGTCTCCAAAACAAACATTTTACACTTGAGCTGCTGCCTCTACCCCAACTTTGTTCTTTTTTTTTTTTTTTAATATTTACCTTTATTTTATATGCATTGGTGTTTTGCCTGCATATATGTCTATGTGAGTGTCAGATCTTGGCGTTACAGTTGTGAGCTTCCCATGTGGATGCTGGGATTTAAACCCTAGTCCTCTGGAAGAGCAGACAGTGCCCTCAATTGCTGAGCCATCTCTCCAGCCCTTCCCCAACCTTGTTCTTAATTATACTTATCCAGAGCTTCTGGAAGGGAAACTCTTGAGGGTACTTCTGTGTCTCTAAGGCTTTAGAGACCCCCCCCCCAAGAAAAGAACATAACACAGGCCTGAGACAGGGTTGAGTTCAGGCCCTGACCAGCTCCTACCGTATGAGTAGCCATGTCTCGTGTGCTGACATTCATTACCATCTTTGCGGATCCGTCCTCAGCTGAAACTGGTCAGGAGTGCTTGTAGATCAGTGAGACTCTGCCCATTGGCATCTTTAATGGCCTCCATAGTATTCATCAGCCCAGGCCCCGTCCCTGTGCTGACCAAGTTGAAGGATAAGTTCCAGGAAGCCCTAGGGACCTAAATGGTGTCAGGGTTGGAGAAAGAGGGTTTCTGGGCCATAGCTGTGCTCACCTGACCCTGGCCCTGTGCTCTTCTCCCCTGTCAGTGTTGGAGCCTTTGTGAAGACCTGGCTGCCCTTTGTCCTCCTCCTGGGTATTATTCTGACCGTCAGTCTTGTCTTCAATCTGCGGTGATGGCTTTCACATGGTCTAAGCCTACCAGGCCCCCAGGAGGGCCCTGCCACTTGCCCCTTTTGGTCCCAATTCTTTCTTCCCCACCCTTAGGCAGTGTTGCCTCCTGGGTTGGAAGTAGGGTCAGGACTTGGGACAGAAGTGCTGATGTTGAGCACCTGATGAGGCGATGCATCACTCAAAGCCTCCTTGTCCTCTCTCCCTGGGCCTGAGACCTCACCTTTGTGGCTTCGCCATCCTGGGAAGGCCTTCCTTCCTTTAGAGCATTTCCTGCCGCCATCACTGGGCTGCTCTTGCCATGCCCAGGGCACAGTGAGGACAAGCACCCATATGGAAAAGCAGTGTCAAGAGGTGGATTTGAGGCTGTTTTCTGGCTGGCAGTCGTGTCCCAGAGTAGGATGTGGTGTTAGAAGTGCTGCACGCCAAGAGGCTTGGAACCTTCTCTGCTGGCCTCGAGTGGACTGGGTGGGCTGGCTGGGCTCTGTGTGTGTGTGTCTGCTAGAGCTGCACTAGCGTAGTGCGCCTCATCACCACTGATCTCGGGAATGACAATTATGTGCAGAGTGGGTCCCCTGCAAATCAGGTAACATGAACCCCACTTGTTTCCAGCCCAGGAGTCCTCATGCTGGGGATAGAACTCTTTAGGTCCAAAATGTAACTTGTCAGAGCAACTAGTGCCACCTGATTGGCTGGATCTGCTTCCGGTTGCTACAATGGGTCCAGTGCAGCCTCCCTCCCCCTGCTCCACAGGCTCCTTTATAAGGGGCTCCCTGGCAGGAAATAAAGTTTTAAGTCTAAGTGGTGTCTGTCATTTTTCTTCTGTGTGCCCCGATTCCTTAAGCACGTATATCCCTGGGGACTTGGAGGAAAGAGATCTGGCTCTAACACCATGCCTTGAGTCTTTCCAGTTGGAGCTTACGGGTATATCAACAGTACTTGTAAATTCTGCCACTGTACAGGCTGTGGGAAGTCCCTGCCATTCTTGGTCTATGTTCCAAACTCCTTCTGGAAGAACTCATCTTCCCTGCTGGGAAAAACTTGGCATTGGGATTGGGACCATAGACTGGAGCCTTGCTCTAAAGTGACCTCCTTCCTCAGCTAGAGTGCATAGTTGGGGTAAGCCAAGAGGAATGGCAGCCCACGGCCCTGTTCTGTGTGGCAGCCATATTGAACTCCCTGTTGTTTACCCCACAGCCATGTCACTGGGCAGCTTGCTTCTTGGTGCCTCTTTCTGTGGCTCCCAGCGTTCTCTTGTGTTCCTCACCACATACCAGTATGTACTCACCTCTGATCCTTTGCTTTCCACCAAGGCCCAGCTTAAAAGCTGTTTTCAGGATAGCACTTGATTCTGACAGCCTGCTGTCTAGTATGGCCTTGGGTTCCATCCCCAGCACTCAAATGCTTTTGCTGTGCCAGCCGGTGTTAGAGTGCTGTTTTGTAACCTTCCAACAGCCCTGGGAGGCAGTCACTATCCCACATGACATTGAAGAAATAAGCACCCATGTAGCTTGTCCAAGCTCGGAGGAAGCAAGAGTAGCCCAAAAGCCAGCAGAGCCCCACTCTAGAAAGGACCCTTGGGCCTGAAGACTCACAACATTGGATACCATCCAGAGGTGCCCAGAAGTGGGAGGAGGGCTGCAGATGCACCCCTGAGGAAGAAGGATGATGTTTGCCCCTCTTCTTCCCATGGGAGAGACTTGATTGACGACTACTTCCACAGGGGACACCAGTGGAAAGCATGTGTGTAAATGTGTGTTTCCCCTGAGCTACCTCCATCCTTACACATGTATTTTCTAAGAATCTAGGGAGTTCACTCAATGGTGGTGAAAACCTAGGAATGATTTTTCTTCTTTCTTCCTCCCACCCCCCCACCCCCCGACAAGATTTCTCTTTGTAGCCCTGGCTGTCCTAGAACTTGCTATATAGATTATGTTGGCCTTGAATTCAGAGATTTGCCTGCCTCTGCCTCCCAAGTGCTGGGATTAGAGGTGTGCACCAGCCTAAAAATGATTAACCAATTTAGGTAAGGAAAAAGAAACTGAAAATAAGACAAACAAAAACAAGAGACCAACAGCTCAAGGGTTGGAGCCCAGGCCGTTTTGTTCTTCCAGGGTATGGGAAACTCCCAGTCCCAATGTGGTGCCTGGCAACCACCAACAAACCAAGAAAGGCATGGGGCTGGACAAATGACTCAGCAGTCAAAAGCAAAAGGTTGGATGCTTTTCCAGAGGTCGCAGGTTCAATTCCCAACTCCCACATAGTACCTCATCCCATCTGGAACTCTGGTTCAAGGGATCCAACGCCCTCTTCTGGCCTCCACAGGTACCAGGCACACATCTAATGCATAATAGGCAAAACACCGCTACACAAAATAATAAAAACATTTAGAAGCAACCGAGCTCAAGGGACAAGAACATGCATGGCTCAGAGGGTGGAGGCGCTTAACCACCAAGACTGATAAGCTGCTTGTGCTCACCCCTAGAACTAAGTGGAAGGAGAAAGTGACTCCTGCGAGGTCCTCTGACCTCCATATGGACAACATGGTATGCACACAGATAAAGTGTAAGAAGTTCTTTCAAAACGGGCTGACGGCCAGGTAGTAGTAGCACATACCTTTAATCCCAGCACTTGGGAGGCAGAGGTGGACTCTGAGTTGGAGACCAGCCTGATCTACATCTGAGTTCCAGGACAGCCAGGGCTACACAGAGAAACCCTATCTGGGCGGATGGGGGGGGGTGCTGAAGGGATGACTCAGCACCTAAAAGTGCCTGTTACTTTTGCAGAGGACCTGGGATCCCAAACACCCACATGGTGGCTCACAATCATCTGGAACTCCAGTTGACGCCTTCTTGTGGCTCCCTTGTGTGTCAGGTGCTCATGTGTTTCATATACATTTATGCAGTCAAAGCATTTATACACATAAATAAATCTAAAGAAAATAGAGACTTGGAGGCAGCCTTCTGTGCCTAGGGCCAGATGTAGATGGCTACAGAAGACCAACATCTGTGTGCTCTAAGATCCAAAACAGGGTCCCCTGAGTGAGATGTGATACTCAGCGGTAAAAGTGTGGGTTCCTCAGCCGACAGTGGAATCCAGGGCCCTTCAGACAGAAGGGGCCCAGGGTGACAAATGAGACAAATAGCTGTTCTGTCTGAACATGGATGGTCAGAGGGGCCAGGGTGGCTGTGAGCACTGGTCTGCTGGAGAGAGGTCACCTGTTGCCACATGGTAGCTGTGTCAGGCACCTGTGCTTCTCTTGAGGTTCTACTCTCCAGTTTGTGCGGAAGGAAATTACTGCTCAGATCAGAGGTTATGAAACCTGCTCAAGACCACACAGTGCTGGATCTGGGCCTTGTCCAAGGCTGCCTAGTGGCAACTGCATAATCCTCCCATCACCGTGGTTCTTAGAAAAGCTTCTAACTTTGCTTTCAAAGCAATTTTCTATCAGCTCTCTGTGGCAGAGTGGGTCTGCTACCCATTCCACAGATGGACCAACCAAGGCCCTGAGCTAACCCTGCAGGTGAGGTTTACTTTAGTTACTAGGTAAGTCTGATACATACAGTACAGCTGGGCCCAACCACAGGGGCTCACAAAACTGGCCCTGGGTTCTCTGACAGCTGCCATGGGCACACCCAGTGCACCCTGGGGCGCTGCAGTCCAGGCCCGGTTTTGCACCAGGCCCTGCTGAGGTGTCTCCTCCTCCTCCACCTCCTCAGGGCTGGGGCAGCAGCTGCTGGGCGAGTCAGCCTTAGTCCTCACTGCTTGTCTAGTCTCTGAACTGCCTTCCTGGAGAGCAAGCTGGAGTTGCCTTTGAAGTTGCCTTCCCTACTGGACCCTTACAGGTAACACACCTGGTGGTCTAAGGGACAGGCACTGCCATTTGGTGTCCTGACCACATTCTGGTACCTCAGGAGTTTGGGCGGAGGAAGGGGAGGTGTGAGCAAGATTACAACTGGACTCTGGCCTGGCCAGGTAGAGGGACACTTTCTATCACTAAAGGATCTCTGTCCCACAGTGTTAGTACAGGGCAGGGGACACCTGGTGCTTATCTGCCTCTGAAAGAGAGAACTTGAGGAAAAGAGACACTGGCCTTGTAGGCTCACAGGCCAGACCAAGCCGACCTATAAGACAAAGCCAGGCACAGTTCTGCCAAATGCCCTCTGCCTTCATTCACATACACATCTGGTGGTCCCCGGGGTACTAAAGTACACACCACCACCCCGCCTGGGCTGGCCGACCACACAGGAAGAAATGCACACACCCACACGGCACTGTCTCCCAGAAAGTCACTGCCCGCACCAGCAACGCCCCAGTAAGACACTGTAGTATGATAAGGTAACATAGCGCTCAGGTACAGATGCTATGCTTTACCCTGGCTTACAGACATCTCTACTAACACCGCAGGACAACAGGACACGGCGATACTTGCACACCCCGCCACAGAAAAGTCCCAAGCTGGCTTGATACCAGCACCTCAAGTACAGTAGTAGTTCAGAGAGAGTCACTGTCAGTACACAGGCATCCGGCCCAGGGCTATGTAGATGGAGAAACCCCCAGAGGGAAAGCAGGGCAGGAGAGGAGGCTTCCCTGCTTGCTATGCTTGGATACTGACTCAGCTGGGAGGGGACTGAGGCAGAAGACAGGCACAAGCCAGGACGTGCCCCTGAGCTGCCCTCCTCCCATTTCAACCCCAGCTGGAGACCTGGCATAGAAGGGGGAGGGGGAGGGAGAGAGAGAGACTGCCCAGTGGGCCCGGGCTAGGGCCACTACTGAATGCTGGTCCCTTGCCACGTCCACATGCCCCTCTCAGCTGGCAATGTTTTCCTTCCGGAGTGGCTGTGGTGCCTGGGCATGAGTTGTTTTGCCAGCTGAGGCTTCCAGCCAAGTTTGGAGGTTGGGGAGCCCTGGGGTCAGACCCGAGGGGCTCAGAAGCTCCTCCGGGGCTGACAGCGGGGAATCTCAGGTAGATGCCCTCAGTGGAACTGGGTGCTGTGGGAGTCAGGGGGAGGAAGTTGGGGTGAGGGTTGGGGAGGAGGTTGCCTCAGACAGGAAGACCAAATGGGCCAGGGCAGGGTGGAGGGAGGCACGGGCAGAGGCAGGCTGGGTAGGGGGTAAACATGAGCGGTGGAGAAGGCTGTGCTTGTATTCACATGTTTCTGCAGGGATATTTTTGCATTTCATTAAGACTCGGGTTATGTAGTATGTAAAATATCAGCTTTAAGGGGAATGAGTTGTCCTTAGTTTCTAGTGTGCAGCAGGTTAGACAGGTAGTGTGAGGAAAGCCAGAGAGGTCTGTGGATATGCAGGGACTTATTCTTGTATGTGAGTGCTTGTTCTTGAGTGGGCATACTGTGTGCAGGTTTAAGAATTACTGTGCACAGCTCTTGGGCACAGGTTTCTGTGCATGTGTGCACAGTTCCTTCATGGTGTGTGTGTGTGTGTGTGTGTGTGTGTGTGTGTGTGTGTGTATGCATAGTCCCTTCATGGGGGATGTATGTGTGTGTAACTGCCTTTGTCCAAGTATCAGTGTACCCATAAGACTGTGCATAGGACAGTGAGTACATGTATCAGTGTGTACTGTCCTGCAGTTCTCTGTAATTCATCCTTAGGTGTATGCGCATATGTACATTTCTTAGAGTGCATCATTTACACCCCACCTCACCTTGACCCGGCCTTGCTTTGATTGGTCCCTATTACTCCTGTATCTGCTTGGGAGACAGCCAGCAGCTGGCTTCAGGATGTGCTGTGCATCTGAAAGACGTTGATCAGCCTATGATCAATCTATCTGCAGGAAGCTA